CTCAAGTAATCCTCCCACTTTAACCACTGAAGTAGCTAGGACTACTAAGTTGCCCAGACTGGTCTTGAACTCCTGGCCTCAAGTGATCCTCCCACCTCAGCCTCCGAAAGTGCTGGAATCACAGGCTTGAGCCACCATTCCCGGCCTTCCTTATGTTTTTCATATTGCTTTCTATAGCTGTGGGGGGTTGGGGGGAGGATTATAGCCAAATACTTTGAGAGTTTACTGCAACTAAATTCCCCTCTAAATCTAGCAAATACATTGCTGTCTTCATTTACCAAGTCTTTGCTGCATGCATATCCTTATGTACACACCCTAGTAATAAGCTACCTTTCTTAGGTGAGCAGATTATATGAGGCATTTGTTAAGTTTCTAACACATAGGCCATATGCATTAAGTGTTTGTAAGATGCTGGCTTTGTTCCAGTATAATCCTGTAGGGCATCAGAAACACAAAGATTGATACCTTCCCAGTCCTCAGAAAGTTTATTTGCTTGGAATTGAGGGGGAAAGGCCTTTTTAACACTAATTTGGTAAAAGGCCTATTGTGCAGATTTGCAAAATTGTGTTAATGGGGAGGACTCCAGTCTTTTCCATTAGTGTGAACAAAGGTGGCTGTAGAAATGAAAGTGACTTAACATATCCAACTGAGAACATGGTATCCAGCAAGTAGAGTGAATTGTGCATACCTGTGTCTATTCTCTTTTATCTGAAGAACTTCTGTCTAAGTACAAATATTTTTTTAGAAGCCTGAGACTGGAAAGAACTAAACCTTGTTTGTTAAGACTGTGGTCCCCAATCCCTGGGTCCACAGCCTGTTAAGAACCGGGCTGCGTCAAACACCTGAACTCCACCTCAGGATGGGTGAGCGAAGCTTCATCTGTATTTACAGCTGTTCTCCGTGGCTGGCATCACCACCTGACCTCTGCCTCCACCACCACTGCCCACCCCCTGTGGAAAAATTGTCTTCCATGAAACCAGTTCCTGGTGCAAAAAGGTTGGGGACCTCTGCATTATGACAAAGAGGATGGGTACTATTTTCAGGATTTGTATAAAGCATCGTTGTCATATTCTGTGAGATACTTTCCTGCCAATATCAAGCACTAGTTCTTTAATTTTTTTCAGTGTGGTAATGGCTGTGGCTCTTCAGAGTATTATGGGGAGCCTGTTAATTATTTCCTATGTTTTGAAAGCCTGTGAGAAATCATGCACTTTCCCATAATATGACTATATAGACCAAAATGACAGGTTATTTTTTGCTCTGGATTAGAAATAGCATCAAGTCTTAGTAAAACTGATAATATTTATGTTTAAATATAACTGGAAGCCTTCCCTAACATACCTCCAAAGGTAAGCTAAGTGATCCTTCTCTGTGTGTACTTTCACTTCACTTTCTATGTGACAGGATTTCTTTATAAGTCTCTCTGAAATATAAACTGGCAAGCATTCATTCAACATAGAGTGGTCTTACTTTTCTTGAAAGCTTCAAACTTGTTCTTCTCCTTAGGGCCTTTCTGATTTATTTCCTCTGTCTGGAATGCTCTTCTCCCAGAAATTCAAATGGCTTGCTTCCTCCTTTTACTAAGGTCTCAGCAGATAACACCATCTCCCCCAGCTCCTATCCTATTTTTTCTCATCACAACACATTACTTCTTATATCTGTATCTTTGTTTTTTGAGAGTTTGCCATACTAGACCTGAAGTTTTATGAGATCAGAGACGTTGACTTCCATTTCCCTGATATATTTCTAACAGGAAAATCCTTAGAACATAATTAGGCACATAATATTTGAAGACATTTGTGAAGTTTCTGACTGCCTCTTAAGATATGGGAGATACAGTGAATGAGACAGGCATTATCTATAGTCTTGTTTAATTGAGAGCCTAAAGAAATCTAAAGTGATTTAAAACTAGTATAGATTTGGCTGCATTTGTTATTTGCTTTGATATATTTGTCATTTGCCTTTATGCGTATATTTTATTTCTATGAGAAACAGACAATAATGTAAGGTAGTTAATTATTTAATCTATTTATTAGACCTACAAGGAACTCAAAATTATTATTCAACTCCTCATTTGACTGACAAGGAAACTAAGATAGATTCTTAGAAGTGAAGTGAAATTTCCTCGTATCACATGCTTAATAACAGGGCTAGTATTTTAAGCCAGTCTTCTGACTTTTAAGTTCAATATTACTTTTAGCCACTAGATGATATGAAAATAAAATATTAAAAACTCCTCTTTATTTAAATAAAGTTCTTTTTTGCCACTTTGTTTCTCCATATCAAAGCATCATCTTTTTGTATGTTCAGTAAGTTGTTATTCATAAATTTGGCTTCTGGTGGTTTAAAGGATTGTATCACAGAACTACCTTTTTCTTTAGTTTGATTCTGTAATTTTAATTATGAAATATGTCAAACACACAGAAAAGTATAGAATAATATAAAGGATTTCTGTGTACCCACCGCAGAGAATAAATTAACATTCATGAAAAAAAGAAATCAGGCATGAACCCTCCCATCGTTATTTTTCCCTTTATCTTTGAACGTTGTAGCATGCTTGGAATATAGTAGGTTCTCCTAATAAGTATTGAACTGTTTAGAATCTGTAATTGGCTGTTATGTTGTCTCAAAATGAGAAAATAAGTCACCAGACAATCTTTGTATCCACAGGTACACATTTTTCAGTGACATGCAATAAGTTATACAGTTGACCTCCATATCAGCAGATTCTGCATCCTCGGATTTAACTCCCATCAAAATATTTGAAAACAATTTTTAATAAAGCACAGCAATAAGAATAATAGAAATTTTAGAAATAATACAGTATAACAACTATTTACATAGCATTTACATTATATTAGGTATTACAGGTTGAATGTCCCTAATCCAAAAATCCGAAATGCTCCAAAATCTCAAACTTTTTGAGCACCAGTGTGACACTCACAGTAAATGCTCTTTGGAGTATTTCAGATTTCAGATTTTTGTATTAGGAGCACTTCTGATTGCAAGCATTTCAGATAAGAGATACTCAACCTGTATAAGTAATCTAGAAATGTTTCAAAGTGTACAAGAGGATGTGCTTCGGATACAGGCAAATACAGTTGTCCCTAGAGGTATTCATTGGGGATTGGTTCCTGGACCAGCAGATACCAAAATCCCCGGATGCTCAAATTCTTTATATAAAATGGTATAGTATTTGCATATTATATGTGCACATTCTCCCATATACTCTAAAACATTGGTCCCCAACCTTTTTAGCACCAGGGACCAGTTTTCATGGAAGACAATTTTTCCACAGATGGGGGAGGGTGGGTAAGGGAGGAGGTGCAAGGGGGTGCTCTGTGGCCGGGTCCATAACAGGCTGAGGACTGGAACTAGTCCGTGGGGACTGCAGCTTTTTAACATCTCTAGATTCCTTATAATAGCTAATACAATGTAAAATAGTTGTTATGCCATATTGTTTAGGAAATAATAACAAGAAAGAGTCTGTTCAGACCATCCACTTTTTTCTGAATAATTTCGATCCATGTGTGTGGAACCCAAGGATAGGGTGGCCAACTGCTCTATGCTATTTTATGTAACAAACTTGAGCATCCTTCAGTTTTGGATATCTGCGCTAGGTCGGTGAGGTCCTGGAACCAATTCCCCACAGACAGAGGGAAAACTGTATGCTTTTTAAAAAAAATTCTGAAAAGTCTTTCCTCTAGCTAATGCTAAGAAATTGGTTTCTAGAAAGGCCATACTTTGTCATTTTGCTGAGGCTTACATTCAGTCAACCCATCCTTGTATGAATTGGCAAAAGTCATTTAACCTAGTCAGTTGGCTCTACATTTTAGTAATACTTGTGCTCTGATCTCAGAAATTACACTCTTGACTGCATTATGCCAAGAGGTATTCACTAGTGTAGCTACCAAGTAAATTATTTAGAATAAATGACATTGTCCTTAAGGTATATTTGTGCATGTGATCATCACATTTGTTAGGCACTGACTTTGTGACAGACATTGTACTAGGTTCTGGGCTGACCCAAAACTTCACAACTTTGGAGGCTTCCTCTTCTCTGCTATAAATATATGTAAATATAAATATATGTATCCTTTGTTATTGAGCAGAGAAGAGGAAGCCCCTAACTCTGCTTGCAGAAGTTGTAGCAGTAGGAAAAGAAGGCTGTACAGAGAAGATGACAGTTTGATAAAATGATATCAATTTTATCATTGATAAAATGATACAAGTCATTTATAGCTTGTATCAAGGCACAGAGGAATGATATCTTTGTCATGTATGGGCAACTGCTAGTCACTGGATAACTAGATGCAATCATGAGAATAATTCAGATGCGGTTGAAAATTAGGCAAGGATTTTTTTTATAGTCAAAAGCTTTAAAATTATCTTAAGAATTTGCATGTGAAGAAAGGTTTCCTTCAGAAACTGCAAATCGTATACTTGAGTATATGTAAGTTCTATAAAATATGCTTCTAAAAAGTCAGCTTTTGTGGCATAAAATTAACTTACAAAGCACTAGTTAGTGTAACCATAAAATATATCTCTTCTGAAGGTTTTAATGACAAAGGAAATTGGTTACAAATTTAATGTTGCCAAATTTTATGTGCAGTGAAGATTCTATGAAATTTAGTAGTGGTAGGAGAAAAATCTTGGTAACTAGGGTGGAAATAATCTATCATTCAGTAACTGGACAGATCTATGGATGATTATCAGTATATAAAGAAATACCGTGGGCTATTAACTAATAAGAATAGTTGCTAAACTGTAATTTTTACAGGGGAGTGAATGCTTGCTTTTACAAAAAAAGTTAATTACCTTCCACTATCTACTAAAAAAAAAAAAAGAAAGAAACAAAGAAAAAAAACAGGGTAAACGGGGCAAAGAGGGATGACGCCTTCCACCAGACCGCGCTGCCTTTTGCGTTGCTTTGGCTGCGGGCGAGGCCTGCTGGGCCTGCGCGGGGCGGAGCCGACAGTGACGCGCCCGTGCTGCGCAAGGCATTGTGGGGAGCTCTGGCCTGCGAGTGTGGTGGTTAGAAGCGAGGTGGGGGTGGCCGTTTGTTTTCTCGTGGTCTCGAACTCGCGCGCTCTCTTCCCCTCCCCCCGGCGTGCGGCTGGGCGGAGAAACGGCGGCGGCGGCGGCAGCGGCTGTAGCTCTAGCAGTAGCATCGGACACCCTCCTTTCCTCTCCCGCAGACTGGTTCCTCTTCCCCCTCCCTCTCACTGTTTGTTGTGTGTTTGATGTGTTAAAGCAGGAGCGAGAACGCGACCAGCGCCATGAGCAACACTACCGTCGTCCCCAGCACTGTGGGCCCGGGGCCCAGCGGCGGGCCCGGTGGCGGAGGTGGTGGCGGCGGAGGCGGCGGCACCGAGGTAATCCAGGTGACTAATGTCTCCCCGAGCGCTAGCTCTGAGCAGATGCGGACTCTCTTCGGTTTCCTAGGCAAGATCGACGAACTGCGCCTCTTCCCGCCGGAGTGAGTATCGTCCACCATCACCGTTTTTGCTAACGCCGCCCCAGTCTAGGCAGGCCTAACCCGCACCATTTCCTTAGGCCCCTGCCGCCGCTTTCCTAGGCTAGCCTGCTTTAGTTGATGGTGGCTATTGCGTTTACTTACGAAACAGTCTAAGTTTTAGATCGACACAAAAAATTCAGAGGCAAGGCCAGGGCTTTTGGGGATTGAGAAACACTGGTTCTTAATCTAGGGAATTTTTTTCCCCCTTAAATTGTGCCATCCTGGTTGTTTTGCTTGGGGCACTTAAAGCAAGACAAAATGCACTTTATGTATTTCATATATAGGTTAAATCCCTTTTTAAAAAAAACTGAGTGTTTTTTCTTTGTATTCTTTTAAGAAAGGTCACAAAATTATTTGTGCTTGTGTTCATTTGTTGAACTTTGGAGACTGTTGTTCTTATTGATAAGTATTGCTGTAAAGTGAATCTGGCCCAGCGGGTATAATTCAAAGATCATACCCTTTTTGACAGTTAATGCAGTCAGGCTGAATACTTAATTCTCAACTCCTGACCTGGAGCAATTCTCCCGCCTTGGCCTCCTAGAGTGCTAGGATTACAGGCATGAGCCATGGCTCCCAGCCTGAATATTTAATTCTTATATCAGAAATAGATTAGACCTGAAGCCAAGGATTTTCCTTTGTTTAAATAATGTACAGATTTATGATATTTCACAGTTCTAGAAAAGGAATTTTATAATTGAGAAGGAATTATAATTTGTATTTACATAATTGTATATGTTGAAATTTAAATTAGAGTGTATGACTTCTTTTTATTTTGAAATTTTTTTATCAAAAGTGTTAAATGAGTGGGTTAATTGTAAGGAAAAATAATTTAAAGAAGACAGGTGTATTAAATATTAAACATTTGGAATAATAGTCATGTGCTCTTTAGAACATTTACTGGTGGAAAAGTGACAATTCAAATGTTATTGTCAGTAAACAGTAGTCTGATGTCATTTAAGTACTAAACAGAAAATTAAAATCCTCAAAAAATCGACTTTTGTGGTGCATGTAATAAATCATTAATCTTTGTACATTTCTGCTCAATAAAATAGTTGACAGAAGTTGATCATAATATAAGGTATTTAGTATTAGCATATTTCATCACTTTCTGCTTAAAATAATTTCACATGCCGATTGGTTTTTCATATTGGTTATTAATTTTTAGCGAGATGTACGTGTGAAGAAAAGATTAAGTTAAAATTTTCCTGACATGTAGAATTCTGAGAACATGTATGTTTTTATTGTCATTATTTTGAGCAGAAACTCACTTTGGTGATGAAGGGCAAATAGCTTTTGTGATATAAACATATGGAAATAGATGTTTTACTGTTACTCAGTTTGCTCACAACTTAATATTTATTAAGTTGTTTTTAGTAAAATTAATACACAGTAAAATGTCAGAAAATATGAGTGATACATTTGATGATTGTAATCACTACTGGGGTACTTGAGGTAATTCAATTTAGTTATGACATAATTCTTACCAGTCCCGTAGTTATAAGGAATTTTGTTATAGTTGCTGACTTTAGAATACTATTCTCTGAAGATAAATGTTTCATGATACATTTGTAAAAAGATAACAAAGAGAAGTGTAGTCATTTTACTCTTTGACTCCTTTGTTCATGTTCCCACATACAAGATCATTTTGTCTTTGACAATGTACAAGGTTATAATAAATGTTACATACCTTTAGTGGCCTTCTACATTTGAATAGTACTGTAAGAGGCTACTTTTATTTATTTGATGTAGGTTTGTTTGGGGTCATTTTTTTTTAATCCCCAAACTTCAATAAACTAATCTGCACATTAGGAATACTTTCTTGTTGATTGCTGTAAGGTCACTAGAGTTTTCAACAGTAAAATGTTGAAATGTTGCCAGGGATATGTACTGTGGACTTAGTGGTCCAGAAGGGTTCATCCTTCCAAAAATGCCTTCCTACCCATAGAATAAGATTGAATGGCTCAGATTACATAAAATTCTTTATTTTGTGAATGTGTTTGTCTCCTGATTTTTTTGTAATTACTATATATACAGTCAGCCCTCTGCATCTTGGGGATTTTGCCTCTGCCATCTGGATCAAAAATATGGGCGGTGGGGGAGCATCTCTACGAACATACACAGACTTTTTTTCTTGTCATTATTCCCTAAACAATACAGTATAACAACTATTACCATGGCATTTATGTTGTATTAGGTATTATAAATAATGTAGAGATGATTTAAAATATGCCAAGAGGATGTGCATAGGTCATATGCCAATATAAGGGTTTTGAGCGTCTGTGTATTTTGTTAAGGGGGGGGAGAGTCCTGGAACCAATCCCCCATGAACACTTAGAGACAACTGTGTATAATTTCCTCCAAGAAGGCAGTCATAGCTGCTTGGAACTTTTTCCCCTAGATATGCCCATAACATGCTTGCTTGCTTTTCTTTCTCAAATGTCACCTTAATCAGAGAAGACTTCCCTGACCATCCTATATAAAAATACAGCACTATCTTATTTTTATATGATAAAAATCATTATGCTCCTTGTCCTCTCTACTTAACACTATTTCATTTTTCACCCATGACCAATTGACAGGTTTAGTTTTAACTTCTCTCTTGTAGAATGTGAGGTTCTTGAGTTCAACATCTCCTAAAGGACATTTTTTTTTTTTTTTTTTTTTTTTTGAGACAGAGTCTCGCTTTCTTGCCTAGGCTAGAGTGAGTGCCGTGGCGTCAGCCTAGCTCACAGCAACCTCAAACTCCTGGGCTCAAGTGATCCTCCTGCCTCAGCCTCCCAAGTAGCTGGGACTACAGGCATGCGCCACCATGCCCGGCTGATTTTTTTTATATATATATATATTAGTTGGCCAATTAATTTCTTTCTATTTTTAGTAGAGACGGGGTCTCGCTCAGGTTGGTTTTGAACTCCTAACCTTGAGCAATCCGCCCGCCTCGGCCTCCCAGAGTGCTAGGATTACAGGCGTGAGCCACCGCGCCCGGCCCTAAAGGACATTTTTAAGTACATTTATGGCTGAACCCCCTCCCCCACCCTTATCTGCTGAAACTCTTAATTTCAATTCTACATGCTTATTTGGGGGAAAACTTTCTGGAATTATACCAAACATTTCAATGACAACCTACTTAGTAAGGTTCCCTGCATTGTTTTATTGTTGAATCCATCTATTTCTTGATTCTTTTAAGCAAAACACCACCAGCCTATATTCACCCAGAGATAGAAGTGCTGTCTTCACAATAGGGAATATTTTAACCTGCTCTTCACAGTGACAGCCCTGCAGCTATTTCAAAGCATCTATCAGTGTCCCACATATTTATTCTCTTTTAAAAATAAAAATGGTTATTTTTTTGTTCCTAAAGTACATATTGGAAATTCAGCATTATTTGCATGTCCGGTGTGAGTTAGACACTTTTTAAATTTCGTAATCATTCCTTACCCGGAGGAAGGATCTTTTTTCCCTGTTTTACAAAATGAGTGAACTAAAATTCACATAGTTTGTTTTGAATGCCCAAACCACACTGCAAGTGTCTAAACTTATACTTGAACACCAGTGCTGTAACTCCTTTACCACTTAATCAGGAGGTTGTTGATTTAGCCAAGAAATTCGTGAGTTATTTTTTACACTTAGGTTTTCACATGTTTGGTTTTAGTGTGATTTCACAGTAGAGATTATAACTGTAGTGCATATCAGGTAATGATCCCAGTGAAGCTTGTCGAAGTTAGAACTGAAGACTGCTCTAATCTGTAGATAAATTTAAGTTCATTAGTAACTTCAGTGACTCAAAATGGATACTTTAATGGTCATATAAGTATAAATAACTTAGATAAAGGAAAGAATTTAGTTCACCTTTAACCACTTGACCAGCATCCATTATAGTCGATAGCCACGGATATGAAGGCGCATAGCCGAGCATTGACTATAGTCGGCAGCCGTGATATGACTTTTCTAATTTTTCATTTATCAAAATAAAATTGTGAACATTTAAAAAATAATGTAATGAAAACATATATGTATGTGTTACCTATTCTGATTTACATTACAAGTAAAGCTGCCTATAAAGTAAAACAAGCTTTCAGTGCTTTAAAGCTTTCCTCATCACACAAGAGCAAAACAGATTCGTCGTGCGGACTGTGAGTGTTGGCTATGGGCAAGGTTTCGTGGCCAGTGAGCGTGGTCCCAAAGTGGTTAAAGAAAAAATTGTTTTAATAAATGAAACATTTTACTGTATATTTCTTTACATAATGAGAGAGAATGTGTGAGGTCCACAGTCACATTTTCAGATGAATGCCACCTTAGCATACCCCCTTTTGTGGATGTTGAAGATGCCTTTGTTTATAATAAGCTCATAATTCTCCACTCATAAGATTGGCACAGTATTTAGTGGGAATTGAAAGGCTGATTATCAGTGGCCTCAACCAGTTCTCATACTTTAGTGGACACGAATATCAATGGGAATCTTATTAAAAATCCAGGCCCTCATATAAAAGGGAGGATTCTCTGGGCTTTAGATGAACTATTGTTCATTTGAACAGAAATCTGAATTTTCTGTGTGCATCCTAGAAGATTCTTAAATAGCTTTCAGAGGACACTTTAAGAACCAATGGAAACAATACTATCACTCACGTGGAAGGCAAAAGTGTCAGGGCTCACTTTTCTCTGTCTTGGTCTCCCTTCCTCATCTATGCTAATTCTTAAAGGTAGAGAGTAAAGGACATTCATGTTTTTAAAAGTGATACCTGCACAAAATTTTAGGGTATGAAAATTAGTTTCAGACATCTGTCCTCTAATATTAAGATGTCTTTTTAAAATAAGTTTTAACTGAGAAAATGCAAGAATGTAAATATGGGCCCTAATGGCAACAAAAATTTGTTTTAAACCTATTTTTAAGGTAGACCTTTCTAATGGGGATAAATTATATTATTTTGCCTTCTGAGTTCCTGTCTCTTTCACAGGACTCAAATTATTCATATTTGGTCTTTACCCCACCACCACATACAGGTTTTGATATAGCCAAAATAATAGTATTTGTATGACATTAGTGGGTAGAAATAAATATGAATCATTTTAACCACTTTGGTACGGGGCTCACCGGCCGCGAAACCTTGCCCACAGCCGGCACTCTTAGTCCACACGATAGTTTGTGCTGTGCATTGACGACGAATCCATTTTGCTCTTGTGTGATGAGGAAAGCTTTAAAGCACTGAAAGCTTGTTTTACTTTACAAGCAGCTTTACTTGTAATGTAAATCAGAATAGGTAACATATACATATATGTTTTTATTAACTTTATTTTTAAATGTTCACAATTTTATTTTGATAAATGAAAAACTAGAGAAGTCATATCACGGCCGTCAGCTAAAGTCGACACTCGGCTGTGTGCCTTCATCTGTGGCTATCTACTATAGTAGACGCTCGTACCGAAGTGGTTAAGATTACAAAGTAAGGAGAAATATATTGTGAGTACTAGGGCAGTGCTTATTTTTAATTTTAGTTATGGGTACATAATAGTTGTATATCTTTATAAGGTACATGTGATGTTTTGATATAGGCATACAATGTGAATCAAATCAGGGTAATTGGGGTGTCCATCACTTTAGGCATTTAACATTTCTTTATGTTAGGAACATAGATAGCTCCATTCTTCTAGTTATTTTAAAGTCTATCCTAACTTACTGCGGATTATAGTCATTTTGTTGTGCTATCGAATATTGTTCATTCTGTGTTTTTGCACCCATAAACCATCACTTCATCCCTCCATCTCCACTACCCTTCCCATCCTCTGGTCACTGTGATTCTACTCTCTGTTTCCCTCAGATCAATTGTTTTTGATATTTAGCTCTCACATATGAGTGAGAACATGTGAGATTTATCTTTCTGTACTTTGCTTATTTCACTTAATGTTCTGCAGTTCCATCCATGTTGTTTCAAATGGCAGGATTTCATTCCTTTTTGTGGCTATAGAATATTCCATTGTGTCTATATACTGCAATTTCTTTATCCATTCATCCATTGGTGGACATTTAGGTTGATTCCGTATCTTGGCTATTGTGAATAATACTGCAGTAAACATGGAAGTGCAGATACCTTTTCGATATACTGAATTCCCATCCTTTGGATATATAACCAGGAGTGGGATTGCTAGGTCATATAGTTATTCTATTTTCAGTTTTTTGAGGAATCTCCACACTGTTGTCCATAATGGTTGTGCTAATTTACATTCCCATTAACAGATTAAGAGGGTTCTCCTTTCTTCACATCCTTGCCAGCATTTCTTACTGCCTCTCTTTTTGATAAAAGCCATTTTAACTGGCGTGAAATGATATCTTATTGTAGTTTTGATTTGCATTTCTCTGATGGCTAATAAGATTTTGAACATTTTTTCATATGCCTGTTAGCCATTGTATGCCTTTTGAGAAATGTGTTTTCAGATCCTTTGTAGGGCAGTACATTCTGATTTTTTTTCTGAACTCATTCTATTTATATTCTTTAAGGATTTTATATTTGGTAGTTATTTTCTAGTGCTGCAAAAATGTTGGCTATAGTGCCAGCTACTGAGAAGCTGGGGTGGGAGCCTGGGCAACATAGGGAGACTCCATTTCTTTAAAAAAGAAAAAAACTAAAGCTGCCTTTTCACTACTTTAAGTACAACATTGTTAAATTTTAGACCGGCAGTGCTTCAAAGTTAAAAAAAAAAAATACTGTATCCTTTCAAAAACACTTATCAGTGAGCCTCTATAACAAGATGGCAATAAGTCCTTGTGTATATATTGTCAATTTTGCTTTGAAGCTAGATCAGGGTCTATGCTTAACATGGGACATGTTCTTTGGGAAACTTGTATTAGATGTTCTAATGGGCTTGAGTTCTTAGGCCATATGTAGCCTCATGTTACCAAGTTAATTATAAAAGTTGTTTTCTTGTTAGCACCCAAATTAAGAGAACATTTTTTCAGCAATGTATCTGAAATGCCTAGTGTAGCCAAGTCTGATGAAATTATAGTTTTATATAAGCATGAGCATGTCTCATTTATTGGAAAAGTTAACAGTGAAGCCCCATTCAAATAGTATTAAAATATATTGCAGGATTTCCCTATTCATTATTGAGTCCTATGATGTAATTGGCTTATTATAACAAAGAGGTGGTTCTCTACCCACGATGCATATTAAAATTGTCAGGGAGAATTATAGTAGGAAGAGGAGAAGCTCATTACTTCATTAGGGATCTTCCATTGACGTGGAGTGGAGAGCATGGATATTTTCCCACCACACAGGATTCTCGTATGTAATCAGAAATGATGTGATCACTTCTGCCCTATGGCATTGGGTTTCCAAATAACTTTGCTGTGAAGTTGGGAAGTAATCTCTACCTCTTCTCGCAGAGAGTTTCATGGAAGAAATTTGAACCACTGTATACTTTAAAAAAAAAAAAAAAACCTCCTCCCTGTGTTGTCTATCTTATTTGCCTTTCTTTTAACCTAAGGAAGCAGTTTGCTAAGGCAAGTGGCTTTTCGCTTGTTGAAATTTTTGCGCAGTAGCATTAGGGTGGTGGAGTGTTGTTCCCGTGTATACTTAAAATTTTTCTTTTCTCTGAAAGTGCTTTAAACCAGAAAGCCTTAGTTGGTTACAGTGCATAAGAGTTCTTATATGCTGTAGATAAGAGAAGACAGGGTATGGAAGCAGTTTACTATGCAGTTCAAGAAAATTCAATAATTATCAAATACATGTACTTTCTTTCCCATGATACATGTTTTTGTCCCTGAAGTAGAAAATTCTTCATCTTTTTCCTCTGAGATATTAGCCATATGGAAAATTTCTAAACCAAAACTACCTATTACCTGTATTTTAAAATAGGTGGTATTGGTATTTTTAATAAAATGTTAACAATTCTATTGTCTTCTCAAACACTGAGACTTTGATTTCACTGTAAATTTAAAGTGGTTATAGGTTTTTATCTCCATTGCAGTTTGTTACATTTTTTCAGTGACCAGTACATTATTGGGTGTATTTTCTTTTAAACTGGTTAACTATGGTTTTATATATATTATGTATTTCCATCTGCCTAGTTTACTTTTGGAATGCAAATGTTGATTTGTGAATTGTACCCTTGTGTTTTAGCTGATATTATTCTTTTCCTTTTTTTATGTTACTTTTTTTTTTTCTTTTTTTTTCTTTTTTTTTTAGTGATTCACCTTTGCCAGTCTCATCTCGTGTCTGCTTTGTTAAGTTCCATGATCCGGACTCAGCAGTTGTGGCACAGCATCTGACAAACACTGTATTCGTTGACAGAGCTTTGATAGTCGTACCATATGCAGAAGGTTTGTGCTTTGTTTAACTACCTATGTGGGCATCCTAAGATGACCATCTACCTCAGTATAGTTGTAGAGTGAGCATTAGTAGCATGTTAAAATCTAAGCTATTAACATTTTGAAACCCTTGTTATACTGCAGCCCATGATTTTTACTTGCAGATTTGTTTTAATTCTAAAAATTAGAAATCAGGTCTGTTTTTATAAATCATTTAACTTTTTTGCTTTCTTTTAAAACATTTTTAAGTTCATTAAAAGTTATGTCCCTAATTGTAATTCCCCAAGATACATCTACTTAGTTAATTTAATGTTGAGTTTTATGAAAAAGTCCTGAAGGTGAATGGTTCACTCCATGTACACTTAAACAGCAACCTTCAAATGCATGATGTTATTTCTGTTTTAAATAAATGACTAGGTTAGTTCTTTTAATCCTTCCTTACATTGATAACTTGGAAAAAAGAAATCCCACATTGAATTTTCCAGTATAGCAAGGGTTGCAATGATTTTGGTTTTTGTGGAAGTTCAAGATTTCCTGTAGCTTAGGTGCCAAATGGGCACTGGGTGTTTTGTTTTTATGCCAGATTTTCTTGTTCATTCTTGCTATATTTTCTAGAATATCTCTAAATAATAAACTCTTCTCTCTGTTATTTGTGTGTGTGATTTTTGTAGTGGAGAAGGCAAATGCAAAACCCTTCCAGATGACTGAAAAACAGTGGGTCCTCTGCAGCTACAGGGGATTCTAGACATTAACTAAAGGCCAGCAAGCACTCAAGTCCCCCAAGTGTTTTCCTGGTGTAACCATTTGTTAACTACATTTTCTCTCTTTTTACATTTTAGGGTGTTAAAGTAATTTGACAGAAAAAAATGAGCAGGTTTTTTGGATCTAAAAAAGCCACTGTGACAAGACAGCACTATTTTAATGCCGATTTGTAAAATTTTCTAAGGCATATTTTATAATTAGTTTGTTCCCAATGTACTGCTGCTTGATTTGTTTTTTGGTAACTGTAAATTTTTATCAAATCACTGAAATATAAAATTACTGGATTATAAGTTAATAATTTAATAAATATGCTGACCAGAATTTAATTGCTTTCCCCTTTCCTTAATAAAAACTGGTCAGTGGAAGCAGAATTTCGATATTGTTGATTTTAGATGCTATCTTAGATCTTTGAGTACAAATGTGAACATTTTTACACCATACCTTGTAAAAATTGTGAAATGTCTAATCCTTAAAATTTAGAGAAATTGCCTCTGTTTTTCTGAAGAAATTAACTTACGTTTATAGATGGGATAAGGCATGCTGTGTAATAATAGTACATCTATCTCCATGATATTTAAGTGTATGAGCCCGGTTTTAAGGTTTTATAATAGATAAACAAATTTTGAGTTAGTGGGTTTTGGTTAAGCAGTTTCTTTTATGTTAGTGTGTTTGTTGTAGGGTAAGACTATCATCAACAGAAAATGTACAGAAGTCAAATTCAGGATGAGTAAAATATAGATGATAGGTCTTGAAACAAGGGTCAAATCATGTGAGTAATGTGAAAAACATTTAAGTCTTTAAATTTAAAGAATTTTTATTGACTAAGTATTATAGTTCCCAAACCCTAAACATAATACAGTATATCATATAACTGGCTTTCATAAATGTTTTTAGACCATACTAATTTTTCTAGACCTGTTTTTGAAAGTGAAATACTTAGGAGTGTGCAGTGTATAGAATTAGGGAAATATTTAGTTTAGAAATCTATTCTTAGTGAATTTAATTCTTGTATGATATGCTGTATTAATGTTACCTCCACTAAATAACTTGATATATTCAATTCCTTTGTCACCATTAACTCTGGATTTAGCTCTTATACTTTGGTGTTGGCTCTTGGTCAGTGTTACAGAACAATAGACAAAAAGTCTACGGTAAGGAGTAGTCATAATTGGTAAAACTAAGATAGCTGGATTTGGAAGGAACTCTTAATAGTAATGGATTTGGGGGTTATTTAGGTTCCTTGGTTAATGTTTGTTTCTTTTGTCTGTTTCTTTTTCTTTCATTTCTACACATTCATGCAGTATTTCATGGTTCTATCAAAGCAGCAGTAAAAAAAATACTCTTGACGCATGAAAATTAACTGGTGAGGGGCCTCATTGCTATTTTTAAATTGTAGTTTTATTTTTAAATAGTCTTTTTTTAATCAGAGGATCAGATGCATGACTTTTTTTTTAATGGATGCAGATCTTCTATCAGGTGTCTCACAATAAATGCAAGAGGATTTTAGTTTGCCAGAAATGTTGCAAATGCACTAATTTGAGTAAGATGTTGATACTTAATATATCCTCTTGAGACATAATTTTGCATGCTAAATTATCCCATAATCTTTGTAGGTTTGTTAATATTGATGCATTAATGCCCTATATCTAAATGATCTTCTCCCCCTTCCCCTCCATAACTCTTGGTATCTAAATTGATGACAGCTCTGACACAAGCAAGATAACAGTGCTGTGTAGTATACATTTGTTTATATTATCGGCACTTCTCAGTATAGGTGGAAGGAACCATTACCTTTATTTAACAGTGGTTTTTCTTTTTTGTTGTTGTGTTTTACAGTTCTTTTCCCTGGTTCAGCCTGAACTATATACCAGGCCCTGCTGAAAATACCACCCAACAGTTTTCTTCTGCAGCTTATCCAGTTTCTCTTAAGTGCCCTGTACATATTGTATGTTTTATGATGAGATGCAGTTTCTTAATATGTATTACAGAAATACTACTGGTATTTGCAAATATGTAGTTTAATTGTATTATTGAACTCTCATTTTGGGGGCTTGGGCACATTAACAGATTAATCCATCTGTATAGGGCTTTTGCTGTTGGATAGAATTTAAATTGTCTACATAAATATTTGTCTTAGGACCCTTAGATTGTATCTGAATACACAGATTAGGCTTTAAAAACAGACATACATGTAATTTTTGGCTTGAGTTTGGCTAAGTTAGCTTTTGAACTGACACTATATAGCAACATTTTTTGGTATGGTTAGCATGGCACATGTTGGAACATAAAGCATTTTACTGTACAGGTAAGGAATGTGCCATGTTGTTTTACCTATTCTCTCTCTTTCTCTCTCACCCACTCCCACACACACATCCCGTGTGTATTCAGAGACCGTCAGAAACATTCATATTCATTTTCATGAGTCAGCAAAAGCCCTACGCTTGATTCCAACAGAGTATTTCCTTTACATACTTTTCTTCTCTTAATTTTTACAAAATTTGTATGGTAGGTGTAAAAGAAAATCATAGTAACTGTACCATATTATTAACCCCTAAATCAAACTTTTTTTGTCTTGTGTATCTTGATTTTTCTGTGTGCTTTATAGTGAAGCAGCCGACACGAGTCGTTGTTCATAAAACAGCTTTTGAAAGTTGAGAGCACACCCCTGGAGAACCGACTGTGCTTGCTTACGTTTGGTTCATGACTTAAAAATCGAGTACAGGTGATGAAATCTTGGCAGTGTTAACAAAAAAGTAGTGTGTATTGTGCTATTTTTTTTACTCTAGAAACTTAACCATTTGTAGAGAAAAAGGAAACAAATTTTCACACATTGAAGTTTCATTCTGACATAAAATTAATGATAAATAATCATAGAAATCAAGCTTTATATTTTAGCGAACATAAGTACTTTCAACAAACTCAGGTGGTGTATCAGGGAGACATTTTCTGGGTGTTTTTGTGTGTTTTCTGTCTTACAAAAGAATGTATTCTAATGCAAGGATGTTTCTCTGCAGGAGTTATACCTGATGAGACTAAGGCTTTGTCTCTGTTGGCACCAGCTAATGCAGTGGCAGGTCTTCTGCCTGGTGGTGGACTCCTGCCTACTCCTAACCCACTTACACAGGTATTAGTTCTATTGAATTCTTAAAGCATGGAAAGGAACACAGACTTGTGAATAAAGCTAAACATGTTTGAGCTTCGTAAGTGTTGGCAAATTTCTAGATCTTAGAGCAATATCGAGTGTGCAAAGTGTTGTAAAAGGCTGTCTTATAATCAGAAATACTGCCCAGAATCTCTTGGAAGTTTGCATTTTAAAAACATTTTGAAAATCTTAAAATATCTGTTATGTCACTTTTGCCATCGGGGCTCTCAAAGTAACCCATAAGTAATTGTGGAATAATAAACTCATGAGGCATAATAACACTTCTGTGAACACACTGTTAAAAAATATATTCATTTGCCCCAGGAAAGAAAATAAAGCTGAAGTTCATACTTCTCAAGTTACTAAGTTATTAACCCTTTATTTTTTCTTTGCTTTGCTCTTTGGCTGTTATGGGGGGGGGTGTATTTCACATAATTAATAGCCAACATTTTGTTTTGGTAAGTGCTCTTCATGCTGTAAATAAAATTGTTTCCTATTTGATATCTATATCCTGATTTTAGGGGAGAAATGTTCTGTAATGAATGAAAAATGGGGCAGTTGTATTGACAAACTATAGCCTTTGGGCCAGACCCCTGTTTTTGTTAATACATTTTATTGGAACACAGCCATTTGTTTATGTATTGTCTATCACTGCTTTTGAGCTACAGTGGCAGTAAGTATATAGATTTGTGTGCAGTTCAGTAGTTGTAGCAGAGACCACATAGCCTACAGACTTCAACTAGTTACCATGTGACCCTTTAATGAAAATAAATATTGACCCCTGGTATAAGGAACTGAATCAGTTTTAAACAAATTTGAAATTTCACAGATTGGCGCTGTTCCATTGGCTGCTTTGGGGGCTCCTACTCTTGATCCTGCCCTTGCTGCACTTGGGCTTCCAGGAGCCAACTTGAACTCTCAGGTACAATTTACTACCTTTATCTTTTGACCCCATTTTTATAGGAAATTTGTTTTATTAACTGTTAGTTTGCATTTCAAGAGCAGAAGTTAATGGCTATGTTGTAGTAATTTTTCTTAAGTAGACTTGTTAAAAAGAGATTTAAATGATCACTGAATTAGTTATAGCCCCTTATCCACTGATAAGAATCTCTTGTTTTATAATACTTCAAAATAGAATAGGTTCACAGGATGCCAACACAGCATCAGTGTGTCATGGAGCCAGAGTAAATAAGTATAAGTTTTATATGTTTCTTTAAAATGTTAAATATTTTCTCAGAAAGTCTTTAAATAAGATTATGTTCAGCCTCATAATCTTCAGATGACTTGTTAAAGCTTCTGTAGAAAAAAAAAAAAAAAGCTTCTGTAGACACTAATGTCACCTATTTTTTTTTATTTTTTAATGTAGCTACTAAAAAATGTAATGTGATATGTACTTTGCATTCTATTTCTTTTGGTCAGCATTGTGTCTATGGCATGATACTTCTTACAGGTTTAACAGATTGTCCCAGGATATTTCAACATACTGAGAAAATAAAATAGCAATCATTTATTGTTCTGTGTATTCTCTATCATATATAAACACACACACCGTTTTTTGTTTGTTTTGCAGTCTCTTGCCGCAGATCAGTTGCTGAAGCTTATGAGTACTGTTGATCCCAAGTAAGGATTTTTTGTTTCCATTGGCAATGTGTGTGAATGTCTAGAAAACAGTTATTTTTTTTGATAGCTAACAAGAAAGTTATCTTTTCTCAAGATAAGCAATATATATTGTTTTTTAGAAATCCAGAAGTAAGCCCATCTGTAAAGGTTTTGTTTTAGGGCAATTTGAGTCTTTCATAATAATTCTAATGTCTTGTAGCAGGATGATAGCAAAAGAGGTAACAAAGGGAGAACTTAGTTTAAGCCCTGAGGATAAAAGCAGTGATCAGTCAGCATTTTTTCATCAAAGAAATTTAATTAAATTTTTTTAAAAAGGGGTAAATAAAATAAAATAATAGGAGTGAGAGAGGCAAGGCTAAGGGGACCACTCTCCCAGAGCAAACAAGTAGTATGAGTTATGTGATTAGTTGCCATAAAATTAATAAGCCAACATCATCTTCCAGGTGCTTTTGATAAGTGCTCTTCATGCTGTAACCGAAATTGTTTCCTAATTCATATATGACAAATTCATAGGATTTTTTAAATTGGTAATTTCTTGGTACATTAAATTTGAACTTTTCCCCTTAACTTGGTAAAAGTCACTAGTAGTAAGTGGGAGAACATGAAGGGAGGACAGAATCATTTGACTTCAGTAGTTAGTGCCCTTTTAAAAAAAAAAATTACCTTATAGTTAAAATCCAAGGATATACCCCCTCACCTAGCCTGTAAAATAAAATAACACCAATACAATTGAAGCTCCCTGTATACCCTCTCTTGATTACATTACCCACTCTCCCTACAAATAGCTACTATATTAAACTTGATGTCTGTAATTTTTTCTTACATGTGTAAACCCATAAGGGGCATCTTTAGCCTTTCTACTCAGGATTTCATGTGTAAGTTTGGTGTGGGCCATTGGCCTCTGCCTCAATTTCTCCCTATCTACAAAACTAAAAGGTAACATTCTTCCCCCCCAAAATTATTAATACTATGTTGTAGAAAGTTTTTTAAATCATATAAAAGAAAGTTCAATTAAGTTTTTGGCATTAGCATATTCCCTTGTACTAGTATTTCTCAAAATGTGTTTGTTTCTTTATGGAAAGTTAGTGGATGTTCAGCAAAATTAAATAGGTATTTTTCTTATTCCAGATACCTCTGAGTCATCAAAGTACAGATGCTCATTGTAAAGATTCAGAACAAGGCTATACTATATAGTATTTACTGAAGTTATCATGGAACCTTCCCCCTCTTTTTGAAGTATTTTACTAAAATGATGTTGTGAAATGCTTACATATTTTATTTGAAATGCTTTTGTATATTTTTAAATATTTCAGATCTCAATTTTTGATTCTGTTTCAGATTGAATCATGTTGCTGCTGGTCTTGTTTCACCAAGTCTGAAGTCAGATACCTCTAGTAAAGAAATAGAGGAAGCTATGAAAAGAGTACGAGAAGCACAGTCCCTAATTTCTGCTGCTATAGAACCAGGTAACATATGTTTGTGCAGTTTTGCTGAATATTAAACCATATGCTTCTTGGCAAGAGTGATTATGGCATAAGTGTGAAAGTATGTTGAATAATACACTAATTTTTTTTTTTTTTTTTGAGATCTTGCTCTCTTGCCTAGGCTAGAGTGCCGTGGCGTCAGCCTAGCTCACAGCAACCTCAAATTCCTGGGCTCAAGCGATCCTCTTTCCTCAGCCTCCCAGGTAGCTGGGACTACAGGCACACACCACCATGCCAGTTAATGTTTTCTATTTTTAGTTGTTTGGCTAATTTCTTCTATTTCACTAGGTCATTTTGTAATTTTCTAATTCTGGTAAAATAAAAGATTATATAGTGAAGTGCCACCCAGACACATTTAGAACTATCTGGACACACTTCTGATTGTCTCTGGTACCAAGTGCATCTGGTGCATAGAGGACCACCAAGATATTCCTAGATATCTCCTAAAATGAATAGAATGAACAGCACAGGCTTCCACAACAATGATTGACCCAATCCAGAATATCAGTAGTGCCAAGGATTATCTAATACTCGATGTGATATTTTGTTTTTTTAATCATTTGTTTATCTTGCTTGGGATAGCCTAATTTTAAGTTTTTTAATTGATCAGGAAAACCTAGCAAAACTGCTTTTTTTGTGATTTGTTTAAAGAAAATCAGATGCCTTAATTTTTGTAGATTGTCTTTTTGAGAGTATTGAATGGATATCTCATTATCTGTCTCTATATATTTATATCTGTGGCCCTGGATTTTTTCCCCCCATTAAATAACATCTTATTAATTTTTTACTCTTATTTTTTAATAAATGGAAATATATTAAGTACAGTGAACACTGTTCTAGTGACGGGCATACCAGAAGTCTTAACTTAAGCATTTATAAGGTATCCATGTAACAAAAACACTTGTACCCCCTTAATATTTTGAAATTTGAAAATTTTTTAAATTTTTAAAAAACTATTAAAACGTGCCAAGCTAAAAAATAAATAAAGAAGTAAATAAATGGAAATGTTTATAATACATAGTATTAGGAAAATAATTTGATTTTAGAGTATAATACTGTCTAAATTGATACCAAGTACTTTATGTGTATTATATCATTTTATCAATAAAATGTCAAATAATTAGCTGCAGTTACTATATGATAAGCAAGCCAGTAGGAGGTCTTAGATACAAAGGTGGTTCCATGCAACTCCAAAGCTAAGACACACCATGTGCCAGCTGTTTCTGTTTTCATTGAAAACTCATGACTGGAATGACTAAAAGTGGTTTCTATATGAATTGATTTTTTTCCAAGATTTTGTCAATTTATTATTTATAACAACATTCACAATAAATTAAATCTTATTAATGAAATGACCTAAATGTGAAACATAGAAGAAGTCAATCTCACTTTGATGATAGTCCATGTGTGAAGAATACAGTGGCTTTTTTTCTCTCAGTAGATCCTTAAGTTAAAAGAATGTATGTGTTATTTAAAAGCTAGGAAATAAAACAGCTCGGTTCTAGATTTATTACCTATACTTACATAACTGAAAATTGGTGGGTAAGAAGAGAGACAGGCTAGCTTGCTAAAGTCTTCATTGTGTCACAGAAGTAACATGGAAACAGTGAGTTAATCGTGACTTTCTAGATTTGAGGACCAAACACTGAATCTGTGTATTAATCATTTTGACATAAATATACATGAATGTGTTTATTTAGCAAAAGGGCATAAAGTAGTGGAGAAAAAAGAATTCACCTCCTCTGAACCTCAAGCATGTATATGTGCACACATACACAATAAGGAACATTTTGCTGGACCAAGAATTTAAAGTGTTTAGCCGATTTTCCTTTTTATAGATCTTTTTTATGGAAAACACTTCACAGCTTCCTAAGTCTGGCAAGTGAGATAGTGAACTTTATCTGAGAATTGTCTAATTTGGATCTACAAAAAGGCTGGATAATTTATAATTTGTATCATTTCATTAAGCTTCAGCATTGTGATTTTAAAATGGATATAACATTTAAGGATATATGTAAAAGCAGAAAATTAAATAAATTCTTAGAATAATTTCTGAGTGGGAATATTGCTACCTAATGATTTCTAAATACAGGGTTTTTTAAAATTTTAATCTAGATAAGAAAGAAGAAAAAAGAAGGCATTCAAGATCAAGATCACGTTCTAGGAGGAGGAGGACTCCTTCATCTTCTAGACACAGGTTAGATTGTTTTTTATGGTCAGTTATACTTCAGACAAAGATAAGTTCTGTATGTCACACCTCTCTTAATTTGCTGTCTAACTCCCTGGCTCCTGGTTACAATGTATTTTAGTAGTCACTGCTGTTAGAGTGTGTAAATGAGTGTTCCCACATGTATAAAGGGAAGAAAGGTATGGAGTAGATAGATGATTCATACTTTAAAACCCATAAAAAAATTCAGAGATGGTAGGAAAGTATTGAGACTTCAGTACCAGAATGAGTTATTACTGTGGGAGGAACACTGGACTTCAAATTTGATTTTTAAATATGACTTTCACTAGACTTTTGAGACTTTTAAATTAGGAGGTTATGTACCTCAGATTATCCAGCTATTGCATGAATATTCTCAAACTTGCTGTTACTTTTGAGATTATTTTTATTACTGGATAAACTTATTGATAGAATCATTCTTTTGCTTGCCTAGAGTAAGTTTAACTCAGCTTGTTCTTTCTTCTGTGTGACATCCATGTATGAATATATAAGGTTCTCTCTAGACCAGTGGTTCTCAAACTTTGTTGGTCATAGAACCATTTGACACTAGCAAATTTATGTTTGCTTCAGTTGCACATATACTAAAATTGGAATGATATAGAGAATATTAGCATGGCTACTGTACAAGGATGACTTGCAAATTTGTGAAGTGTTCCATATTATGAAATACATATATGTGAGAACCCCAAGGGGTTTTTGTTTACATGGGTTATATCTGTCAGTGTTGACCATATTAAAAATTAAACTGTTGAAATAACCATAATAAACCTATTCGTGTTAACATAGCTTTGAAACAAACCTTTTCTAAAAAAAAAAGTTGGTGAGGGGAGTGGCTTTGTTTTGCTTATTTGCAAATTTCCTTAATGTTTAGCTTAATAGAAGACAATAGGATTCTGTGTTCAACTTGCTGCAATGTATCTTCCTTAGTATATTTAGAAAAACTGACTTCGTACAAAAACGTAGTTAGAAAAGGGACAGGTAAATGTGTAGTCACTTCAGGTAATTGTGATTAGTATTCTTTGATAAATTGCCAAAATTTGACAGGTGATAGTTTCTGAAAAGGTAGTTGCAATATGGAATCTGAAACCATAGTAATGAACTTTTTATATGCTGTTATATTAAAATCTATTGATCTTTCTTCAATTTAAAATGGGTATTTTTTTCCACATGGGATTTTGTGAAAGCAAGCATTGGTGATTTGAAAATAATTGATTCATTGCATTATGCAGTTTTCCCAATATTGATTTGTATTTGTTATACAGTGTCAGAAAATGATATGTAGTAATACCACCTCAGGTCTCATCAGAAAAACTAAAGTATTAAGAGGCTATCAAGTTCACAATGGTGGATTTGTGTTTTAATTTTCTCTTGAAAGCTGAGATTTTATCATTGGTAACAAATTTGTTTGTTTGCCTTGAAGTAATAGACTTCATTTATTTTTCCAAAAACTGTGTCTACCAAATACTGAAGTCTAAATAACCATAGATTTTTGGTTCTAGAAGGTGATGTTTCATGAAAAGTCTACTAATTCAGCTTTATAACTCACTGACACAGATGTCTTCCTTTATTATGTAACCATTATACTTTAAGTGAGCATCAGGAGTGATTTGTGCATACTTCCCATTTCATCACAGAATAGTACTCTTGGGATCAGATTTACTAAAAATTAACTTTTACTGCTTCATCAAAGACATCCTTAGTAAAAGTGGCATTACTGTTTTTTTTCTTTAACTGCAAGTACATACCTGAATACCAGTGAAAAATACAGTGAACATACTAGTGCAGTTCAGTAGCCACTGCCTTGATTCATGTTGAGGAGTTGCCAGCACTTTTACCTGCCATTGCTTTTGTACCATTAGGGCAAATGTCAGCACAGTGAAAAAGGCAATAATATCTTATTATTTTGAAAATAATTTTGACCTGATGGATCCCATGAAAGGTCTTAGAACTTCCAGAGTTTCACAAAGCATAGTTTGAAAACCATTGCTCTAGGTTACTTATTACCAACTATTTCAGCCATTCTTCATTTTTCTTAATTTCGAAACTCTACCCTGGTTGGTCTAATTGCATTCTGGTTGTAGTCAGAACCTTTTAAGGTTTTGACATTCAGAGCTGTGATACTCTAATTGTAGTCAATTATTTCAGCTAGTTTCAGCTTCACCTTCCATATCCCTCTACCACTTGACTTTCACACCTCATTTGCTGGTTGCCTTCACCCCTGAGTTCGTCTCTTCTGTAACCTACTTATGTCATTTGTCTGCCTTCTGCTAGCAACTTCTTTTACTTCTTAGTTTTTACCAAGGGTTAGACAAAATTATTTCTCCTATTACTGGGATTCTTGAAAGAGCAGTAAAGTGTACTTAAGTTCTAGACTTTGTCACATCTCTCTTTTTTTTTCTCCTTTTAACCATACCCCCAATTTCTTATATGTCACGTCTCTATTAAACACACATCATACCCAGATATCTAACAAACTATATTCTGTCTCAAAGATGGCCCTTTCTCTTTACTTTCATGATCAGCATCTTACTCTGGTGTCATTGTCTTATTTTAAGTCATTTCTTGGATTATTACATGGTTGTTCTACATGGTATGTCTGTTTTATTCCCTGTCACTCACCTTGTCCCAGCCTGTCTCGTTCTTAGAGATATCTAAAAAAAACCCAAATCTGGATCATATCACAGCTTTCTTGAATCTCGAGAAGCTCCCTGTTGCTTTAATAAGGTGATAGATAAAACCTAGGAATGGCATTCAGGGTTCTTTACTGTTTTGTCTGGTTTATCTTTCTACACATGTCATTGGCCACTCCAAAAGTACAGGACTACTTGCCCTAACATATCGTTTTTATTATGTCTCCATGTTTTGCTCATGATTCTTTCTGCCTGATGCTCTTTCCCACATCTTCATTTCTACCTGAGAAGCTCCTATTTCTTTCTTCAAGGTATAGCTCAGATTTTACTCTTAATGTGTAGTGTTGGTGATGCTTACAATCTTCATCATACAGGACACTACTCTCCTAGTTTAATCTCTTCGATGGGGTATATCTCATAATAAGATTACCACAATTTATATGTTTCTCTCTGAATTCTTAAGGAGAGCTTATGTTTTTCTTTAATATACTAAATCTTACTAGGATTCTCAAATTTTAATAAGAATTACTTACTATGACCAGTGAAAAATAGAAGTGAAATACTTATTTTCCTGAACTTTTAGACACTTATACTACATAAGAAAAAGATAATTATTGTGGATTGTTGTATCTTAAGCATCTCAGTATATAAAATAACCATGACCTTCAGTAAGCTTTTTTACTCTTAGATGTTATGCTAATCTCTATTTTGATGATTGTTAAAAGCTCACATAAACTATTAAGTGTAATAAAAGTGGCTCTGCAGTACATTCCCCTTGAAAAAGTAGATTTATGTGGTACTTCTGCCTATTAGATTTTTTAAAACTATACTATTAATCCCATAGTTTTGAAAGAAACCTGTAAGAATACTCTTGTGATTTGTTGTCTACATCTAGATGTACTTTTTCTATGTCCATTAAAGGTAGGGAAAATATGTAACTTGTTTATTGAAAATTGTAACTTTATTTCTTCTTAAAACCAGAATCCTCAGAAGATGAACAAGAATTCTAACATCAGTTTTTGTTTTCCAGAATGTTTTAATCTCTGAAAAAGAAAGTGATGATGCTGATATTTTATAGGCTCATTATTTCACTTGAAGCACATTATTGGTGCATTTTATTTTGTTTAAGTCAGGCACTATAGTAATTGCTCAAGAGTATAGTGATGGGTAGACAAATTTCCCCTGTCTTTGTGAACATATAGAAAGGTAGATAAGAATTAAGTGAAAATTTCTTAGGATATAGAGATGTTATTACAAGGGATGTTTAGTAAGTAGTTTGAAATATAAAAATTTATTAAGTTCAGTAAGGAACTACTGATGGGTTTTAAGGTGGTTGTTTTAGAGAGTTAAGGCAACAGAAACTATATTAACACATCATTAAGAGGAAAGAAGGGCATTAATATTTAGTGTACAGTTGTCCATTGGTATACTCAGGAGATTGGTTACAGAACCCCACTGTAACTATATACTCAAGTCCCTTGGAATTATTTGAAAATTCAGCCCTTCATATATATAGGTTTTGAATACTGTTTTCAATCTGAATTTAGTTGAAAACTCCTCATGTCAGTGGATTCACACAGTTCAAGCCTGTGGTGTTCAAGGATCAACTGTATATGCCTATACTAAGGCACTGCCTATCCTGTGTTGTAGCTGTTATTACCCTTCTTTGCTGAAGTAACAGGATTGAAGAGGTTAGATAATGGTCTAAGTTACCTGGCACATAAATGAGAATTAAGTGTTAAAGACTAAGGAAACAATTATAGCTTATTTTTAATTCTTAAAATAGAGGAAAATGATTGTTTTAAAACAGGAAGGAGGATGACAATATGTAAAGGTTAAATGTGCTTCTTACATCCTAGAAGAGAAAATAGAGTGGGACAGGGGAGGGCAGGTATGGGAAACATTTCTCTGATGTGACATGAAAGAGACAATCATGTAGAGATGGTGATATGTTGAGGGGAAAATGAGAGTAAAAGCAGTTAGCACTGAGTCATATGTATCTGTATAAGGCTTCTATTGCTTGGAGTTTCTTAAATTATGAATTAAAGGAATGGAATTTATTTCAGAGACAATAAGAAATAATAGATGTCAGCACACTAAGTGGTTTGTATTTATAAAATACAAATACCAGCTTTATGGGCTTACAAGGCCTATTAAAGTTTGTATATAGCATAATTAAGTATTTGAGAAATGATAAAGTTTAAGCTGCAATAGTGAGGAATTAAATAGAAGAGAAATACAGGCCGGGCGCGGTGGCTCATGCCTGTAATCCTGGCACTGTGGGAGGCCAAGGTGGGCGGATTGCTTGAGGTCAGGAGTTCGAAGCCAGCGTGAGCAAGAGTGAGACCCTGTCTCTACTATAAGTAGAAAGAAATTAATTGGCCAACTAATATATATATAGAAAAAATGAGCCAGGCATGGTAGTGCATGCCTGTAGTCCCAGCTACTCGGAGGCTGAGGCAGTAGGATCGCTTGAGCCCAGGAGTTTGAGGTTGCTCTGAGCTAGGCTGACACCACGGCACTCACTGTAGCCTGAGCAACATAGTGAGACTCTGTCTCAAAAAAAAGAGAGAAATACGTGCCAAAATGTTATATAATTGTATAAGGTGATGCAAATGAGTCAGATGTTTTGTATTTTTCCTTCATTCTCCAATAAAATTTTAACCTTAGAGTTGTAAGTACAATGGGTATAGAAGGACTGGTCTGACATTGAGCAAAACATTAAAAGGTAAAGAATTCCAAGTGTTCAAAGGTATTACTAATTTCTAAGGTATCAAAAGCATTTACTCTATGGACTAAATAATTAATGACAGCAACTAAAAGGGAATTATCCACACTTAATTGGTGGTTAATCCATATGTCTGATACTGAGCTAAATATTCACAGTCTTTTTATATTTATATGCACTTACTGGCCTCCTTTTATTTTATTAGGCGGTCAAGAAGCAGATCCAGAAGACGATCACATTCTAAGTCAAGGAGTAGGCGGCGATCCAAAAGTCCAAGACGGAGAAGATCTCATTCCAGAGAGAGAGGTAGAAGGTCAAGGAGCACATCAAAAACCAGGTAGAAAAGACTTGTTAACATTGGGTGAGAACACAAATTTTAGAGTTCCCAAGACCCCCAGTACTGTGCTGCTACTAAATAACAAAGGAGTTGGTTGGGTTTGGGGAGCAGAGAGAATAGGGCTAGACAGGGGAAGGAACTGTTTAGAATTTGAGGGGACTGACATTTTTTTTCTGGTGCTTCCTTGCAAACTAGAACTTCAACTATAAGCTGAAGGCCTTAGTAAATTTTCTTGCCTATCTTACTACCTTTTTTCATTTCCTCCTTTCCACTCCACCACTGCTAAGGATTTAGTGCTACCGGCCATTCCTCATGTTATGCCAGAGTTTAAGTCAAGAAAGCCAAGCCTCATCATCTTTATAGGTCTCATTATCAGTGACTGGGAAACATTTAAAAAGGATTGCTATATATGCTGAACCATACTGGACGTTCTCTGAGCCTCTGATTTGGGACCAGTAGGGAGTTAAAGTGAGGATTTGTGAAAAAAGAAACACCTTTACCACAACATTTTATCTCCACTTAAACACATACTCGGTGACCAGTCTTTTCATCTGGAGCCCAAACCCTTTTAAATTAATATGCCCCTGATCATTTATATTTGTTAGACATATGTGTTTTCACAGTGCTTAATTTTTTTTTATCAACTGTCCTTTGTCTTTTTCTAAAATAGGTATCTTAATTTTCTAGAAGCAGTCCTATAATTTGTATTGTTTTATCCATTCATATATTTAAATCATGTAATTAAAGTAAGTGCAGCTGGGGACCCAACAAAATTTATTCTTGGTAAGCATATAACTCAACTGATGGGAACAGGAGTTGGGGTGGCTTTACTATCAGTGTTCAGGCCATAATAATGGCGGTTTTAGTCATTATATATTACACAGTGAATCCTCTATTGATTCAATCAGTCCAGTGTTGCTTAATGGAATAGTTATGCAAAGAGGAATTAGGCATTCCTTCCTCTAAGGACTTCCTGATTACTAAGAGAGGAGTGGCGAATGTAATTACAGGGGAAAGGCTGTTAAATGATGATTGCCACTTGCTAACATTGGAAGAGGTTTAATTGATAAGTGAGTCAGGTATTAAATTCTGATACATTTCACTAGACTCAGTGAGGGGCATGATTTCAGGTAGAGGGGAGAATGCTATTTCTTGAAATAGCAAGTATTTTCTTCGTATAGGTGAGCTAGGAGAATATGAGATCAGAAGTATAAGGAGACAGATCATAGAAGGCTTGGTTGTTCACACTATTTGCACTCGATCCAGGAAGTAACTGGAGTGGATTGAAAAATGATGAACAGGGTAAAATTAGTATTTTCAGGTCTATACATTGTAAGATTTCTGACAGTGCAAAATCAATTTATGGAAGGCATGACTGGGACCCATTAGACAGTTATAACCTAGGAATAAGATGATAAAGACTTTAATAGAGAGGATAACTGATGGAGCAGGGTGACCAGAGAAGGGAAGGAATGAAAGAGAGACCATAGAATGGAAAGATTAGCTAAGAACAATAAAAGAAATTCTTTGATCCCTACAATTATAGAATAGTTTAGATAGGGGTGTGTGTGTGTGTGTGTGTGTTTTGGGGACTTCTTATTCAACAAACTTATGTTGATTATCTACCCTTTGCTCAGGATCTCAGGGAGAATGGTGATCTTCAGGAAAAAATACTGTGGGAAATAAAAATAAATTTACCAGAATCTGTGAAAAGATTTTGAGTTGAGGTATGGCTGTAGTACCAGTCCATTACGATAGGGTATTTTTCTAATCGCACTGAATAGCCCAGAGTATATAGCAACAGAAAAAGGTAGAAGCTTGATTTGGTCCATAATAAAGGTTAACATGGTATGTGTGCTTTGAAAGAATATTGATGATATTGATGGGTGATTTTGGTAGTGCATTATGGGTTTTGGCCTTAATAGGAGAGGTGGTTTGGGAAAGTGCTAGTTAACTTAGAGAAAAAAAGAGTGTTGAAGAGCTTAGAGGCAGTTATTAAACCTATTGGTGTTTACCACCAAACATATCAAGAAACTGGCCAACATCCTAATATTTTTCTCATCTCATAGTGTACACTATTGGGGGGAAATTTTACATGAAATACTAGGAAAATGGGCTTTTTAAAGGAGTTACGTACCACAAATATGACAAATGAGCTATTATTTCTTAAACAGTTGTCAGAATAACATCTGTGCTTTGAAGAATGAGATTAGACCTGATTATACTTTCTCTTTTATTTGTAACGCTATGTAAATTGGCATTAGCTGAGTCTTCTAATGCATTCATAAATTTTATGTTCATTTGTTAGAGACAAAAAGAAAGAAGACAAAGAAAAGAAACGTTCCAAAACACCACCAAAAAGTTATAGCACAGCCAGACGTTCTAGAAGTGCAAGCAGGTAAGATGGCATCATGAATTCTTGGAATTTTTAACTTTGCTTATAAGATTATCAATAGGCTGTGAACATGAAATGTTTTCCAGAACGTAGATAAAATATTTCAGTGTTATTAAAAGTTAAGCTTTGCCATTATTGAAAGCTTTTGCAAAGACAATTTCTGTGAAGAGTGTAACCTGAAGTTTCTCTTTCTTGTTATTTAAATATTTTATGGTGTAGAGCATATTTGATACAACACGGAACTCAACAAAGATCAGTTTTTCTATCTTAACAGTTTTAACAGCTAAAGCATACTGAATTGTTATGTTAAATTAGTTATAGTAAGTTATATTTATCATATCTACATGTTACTACTCAAGAATTTTTCTTTCCCTTATAGTGGTTCATTGATAAATTAATAGGAGGCAGTGCAAGTTCTGAGTGTCATTCTTGGGCTAATTCTGTCTCTAAACTGTCAGAGCAAATTGAAATGTTGCAAACTTTACTCCAAAAAAAATACATTTTTCATGTTTACTTTGAAATTCCTATGATACTGCTTTGGAAAACAGTCTGGCAATTCCTAAGAATGTTAAACATAGAGGTTTTTGACCCAGAAGTTTTACTTCTGGGGATACAAAAACATGTCCACATAGAAACTTGTACCTGAATGTTTATAGCATTGTTCATAATAGCCAAAGGCAGCGCAAATGTCGACTACATGCTGCAGCTTGGATAAGCCTTAAAAACAATTCACAAAAGGCCACATATTACGTGATTCCATTTATGTGAAATTTCCAGAATAGGCAAATCCATAAAGCTAGAAAATAGATTACTGGATTGCCAGGAGGACAGGAAAAATTAAAGGGGTATGGGCTTTCTTTTTGGAGGTGATGAAAATGTTCGAGTTTTATTTTTTGATTGCTTTGTTTGTAGCTAAATCGTATAATGGTCATCTTGCCAGTCTGGCACCTTTTGAGAATCATGGACAGAATTTTTTTATAGTCAGTAAAAAGCAGGGGAAAGCTGTATGTCTCAGTAATAGCTGAAAGCAGGGTTTTTCGGTGGAGGGAGGAGGATTTTGATATAGAAAGTCAATTTGATTTCTACCTTTCCACTAACTAGTTCTGAATTTCATCTAATGATTTGGAAGTTGATTTTTGGATTTTATTAGTGGCTGCCTTCTGTATCACATTATTTGGTTTCCTGTACCTGTTCTGAACAATGAATGTTTGAATCTAAAACTGATTTACTTCAGTGAATAGTTCACTTCAGATTTCAGTCTATTGTGTCAGAATGTCTTTAAAAAGAATTGCTGGAAATTAGGGGATTTCTTGAGGGCAATAAAGGGAAAGGTACATGGTTTGCAGATGTTTATTATCCACTTGATGGTTCAGCTAAAAACAGTACTGTGAAGCAGGTCTTTCATTATTATATTGTAGGAGTTCTAGTAAAGCTCCAGCCTAGACATATCTGTAATATGTCTGTCTTTTAGATCATATGCTGTATTTTAAAGCTTAGTTTGCACATTTGTGATTCTAGAGAGAGACGGCGACGAAGAAGCAGGAGTGGAACAAGATCTCCTAAAAAGCCTAGGTCTCCTAAAAGAAAATTGTCTCGCTCACCATCCCCTAGGAGGTAAGAATTTTAATCATTTAGATCTATCCTTTATATTTTTCAGAGGTTGTCAGTTTTAAAACTGTCCCATGAAAGTTCTTAAGAATGTTTTGATATATTCTCTTTAAGCCTTGAGATTTCAACACTTTAGGATTGGACATCATAGACCTGTAATCAAGTTATGGTCTTCTAGCTTATATTACCTGTACACAGTTGCACCTTTATTGTTCAGGATTTTGTATCTTCTCTGTCCTATTGGTAACTGTGAACTTGGGTCAGGCTCATCATCTAAGCAAGTTAAACCTGTTGCTACACATCTTAATGTCATTCTAGACATAAAAAGGAGAAGAAGAAAGATAAAGACAAAGAAAGAAGTAGAGATGAAAGAGAACGATCAACAAGCAAGAAGAAGAGGAGTAAAGATAAGGAAAAGGACCGGGAAAGAAAATCAGAGAGTGATAAAGATGTAAAAGTATGTTTACAAACCAACTTACTTTAGTATTTTGAGTGATATTGGTACTTTTAGGAAGTGATTTTTCTTTGAAGACATTTACTTTTATTATTTTCCTTGGCAAAGCAGGTTACACGGGATTATGATGAAGAGGAACAGGGGTATGACAGCGAGAAAGACAAAAAAGAAGAGAAGAAACCAATAGAAGCAGGTTCCCCTAAAATAAAGGAATGTTCTGTGGAAAAGGGAACTGGTGATTCACTAAGAGAATCCAAAGTGAATGGGGATGATCATCATGAAGAAGACATGGATATGAGTGACTGAATATTGCCTCTATGGGAATCCCAACTGTGTTATACATGCATCAGTGTCATTCCTTTGTGTGATTTATTAATGCTGTATTTGTTCATCTCAAACCTAGATGTATACAGCTCTGAGTTATAAATGGTTATAAAGCTCCTGATATTGACATTAGTTATTTACATCAAAAAGCTTTTAGGAAATGGTACAGGGGTAACCAGTTCTTGTCACAGTGAAATCTGATTGAGTAACCAAGCAGTTTTACTATCCTGGTACTGCTTCTTAACAAAAATGAAAAGCTGCATGCATCTACAGCAGGCATGGATTGTTTATGTTGTATGATCTCCTTTATTAAGTAAGTTCACTTATAGTATTTCTAGAATCTGATTCATTGCCGTAATAGAGCCATGTAGGGAATGCACTGATTGCATGTTATTGTGGCAAGAATATCCTAAATGTCATTAAAATCCTCCAACATGATGGATCTACTTATGGTCTTGTTTGTTGACATGACAAATTAACATTCTTATATTTACATCTGGAAATGAGCATTTGAAATAGATAATCCTTTAAGCCTTGTGGCTAAATTTTTGTGGCTTTTGTTTAACTTTGAAAGGTTATATATGCACTAACCTTTTTTGATGGCTAATTAGGCTTTAATTACGAAACAAGATTTCAGATAAAACTGTCTTTGGCAGTGAGTAAATAGCATATTTTGAAGTAGAGTTGTATACTTTTTCATAAGGTATTTGGGAATTTTTTTTTCCTAAAATAATAATTTATTCCACATTTACATCAGTGAAAGCTATCTGCCTATCCTGAGTCCATCTATTAAAAAAAAAGTTATCTCTTGTCCTGATTTTCAGTTTTCCACCCTTTCATTAATTTGTTTTAAGCTCAGTGTTGGAAAAAGGGGGTAGTGCATTTTAAATTGACCTTCATATGCTTTTAAAATAAGACAAATCTACTTGATAATGTACCTTTTATTTGATCTCAAATTGTATAAAACCGATAAATTTGTGTTACTGCAGTAGTAATCTTATGCACACAGTGATTTCATGTTATATGCAAAGTAGTTAGGCAACTGTTTTCTTAGTTAAGGAGTTTCAGGCTTCACTTTTGTTCAGTAAAAACAAAAGTAGGCTACAGTCTGTGCCATGTTGATGTACAGTTTCTGAAATTGTTTTACAAGACTTTGATAATAAAACCCTTAAACTTATGTTCATGTTCCTGTAAAACTGTATTTGTATTTATTTACACTATTGAATGTATGACATTTACCTCATTCATTTTACAAATTAAGCCCTTTCCCTTTCTATCCACATGTTTAAATATAGTACATAAATTCCATCACTGTAGTGATAGTTGCCATCATAATTGTCAAAAAATGATTTCATTTCTATCTAAAAAATAATCATTTTTCTTAGCTTAGTACAATTTTATTATAGTGTGGGTTTGGGAATGGGATTGGATAAAGCAATGAACTTTAGGATAAACAAATGATCCCAACTATATCTAGTAAATTTATATTTTCAGTGAAATATAAATATTTGCCTTTTCTGGAGTAGTATAGAAGCTGTCAATTATATGTATCTACTGTATAATAGTAAATAGTATATTCATTTATGAAATGAGTAGTGTCGGGATGGCTGGAATTAAGGAAAAGTGAAACTTGGAATTGTATCTTTTATCCAAGTTTTGAGTATAAATTGGGTTTTTTTTTAAACTGTTCTAAAATTGAAATGCCATATAGAAAAGCAGCATTGTTTTTACAGTTTGTAGTAAGTAACTTTTTAAAGATTTTATCAAAAGGAATTTTGTCTATAAGAAGCTCTAGTAATGGTCCTAATAATCACTGCATTTTTAAAAACAAAGTTGAACACAAATGACATTTGTGTAAACTTTTTTTAGTACATAAAGGTTGAACCATGTGACATGACCATTTTTGTAAGTCAAAAACAACTAAAATATTGGAGTTTCACATGGTAAAACCTAATATTCACAGTCTATTCCCTCACTTGTAATCTCTGAATACAAATATGCTAACTTTTCTAAAGGGATTAATTTTTTTGTTATTTTAAAGTAGTGCCACTGACTTAAGATGCTGCAGTGAAGATTATCCATTCTTAGGATATTTATTTTCAGCAAACTTTTTCTGCACAAAGGTAGTGTTACACTGGGACACAGGCCTTTTAACAAATAAGATAACCAGTTGAAATCAAGTGAACACTGCCTCCACACTGAGTTTTGTTCTGTATTTGGTAGTAAAAATGATTTAAAAATAAAAGTGGTTTTGTTAGAAAAATGTTTGTCCTTATTTATTTGCCTAAATTCTTTAGAAGGGGATGAGTGGTGGTGGCTATATAATGAGCCTTTTCAGATGGAAAGATTAAGAGTCCAGTCATGAGTTTGAGGTGTTATTTAGTAGAGCTTGATAGAGCTGTGTTTCTTGCCTTTAGTTTCCTATCTGTAAAGAGGAAGTGATAGCCACCATACAAAGTACAGGCATACCTCAGGTTTTTCAGTTTTGGTTCCAGACCACTGCAATAAAGCAAGTCAGAAATATTTTGGTTTTCCAGTGCATATAAAAGTTATGTTTACACTAAATGTAATCTATTAAGTGTGCCACAGCATTATGTCTAAAACAATATACATGCCTTAATTTTAAAATACTGCTAAGAAATGCCAACAATCATCTGAGCCTTCAGAAATTTTTTTTTGAGGTCCTTTTGCTGACAGGATCTTCCCTGATGTTGATGTCTGTTAAATGATCGGGGTACAGTTACTTAAGATTGCAGTACTGTGGCAATTTAAGACAACAATGAAGTTTGACTATTATTTCATGAAAGATTTCTCTGTAGCATACAATGCTGTTTGATAGCATTATACCCACATAGAACTTTCAAAGTTGGAGTCAATCTGAAACCCTGCTGCTGCTGTATCAACTTAGTTTATGTTATATTCTAATTCCTTTGTTATTTCAACATGTTCACAGCATCTTCACCAGGAGTAGATTCCATCTCAAGAAACCACTTGCTCATCCATAAGAAAGAACTTATTCATTAAAGTTTTATCATGAGATTGCAGCAATTCAGTCACATCTTCAGGCTCCACTTGTAATTCTAGTTCTCTTGTTCTTTCCACCACATCTGCAGTGACTTCCTCCACTTGAAGTCATAACCCCTCAAGGTCATCCATGAAGGTTGGAATCAACATTTTCCAAATTTCTGTTCCTACCAATATTTTGACCTTCTCCTATGGATTATGACTATTCTTGATGACATTAGAATAGTGAATCATTTCCAAAAGGTTTCATTGACTTTACCTAGTTCCATCAGAAGAATCACTTATCTATGGGCAGCTATAGCCTTAGGAAATGTATTTCTAAAATAAGATGACTTGAAAGTCAAAATTATTCATTGATTCGTACAGAATGGATTGTGTGTTCATAGGCATGAAAACTCTTGTACATCTTCATGAGACCTTATGGGTAACCAGATGTGTGGTCAGTGAGCAGTAGTATTTTGAGAGGAATCTATTTCTGAGCAGCAAGTCTTAACAGTGGCCTTAAAATATTCAGTAAACCATGCTGTACAGATGTCCTGTCATTCAGGCTTCGTTCCATTTATAGAGCACAGGCGGAGTAGATTTAGCCTAATTTAATTTTTTTTTTTTTTGAGACAGTTTGTTGCCCAGGCTAGAGTGAGTGCCATGGTGTCAGCCTCGCTCACAGCAACCTTAAACTCCTGGGCTCAAGCCATCCTACTGCCTAAGCTTCCCAAGTAGCTGGGACTACAGGCATGCGCCACCATGCCCAGCTCATTTTTTCTATATATATTAGTTGGCCAATTTATTTCTATTTATAGTAGATACAGGGTCTCGCTCTTGCTCAAGCTGATTTTGAACTCCTGACCTTGAGCAATCCTCCCGCCTCGGCCTTCCAGAGTGCTAGGATTACAGGCGGGAGACACCACACCCAGCCGATTTAGCCTAAGGGCCCTAGGATTCTTAGGTAACTGAGCACTGCCTTCAACTTAAAAGCAAAAGTCACCAGCTCCATTAACCCCTAACAAGAAAGTCAGTCTGAGCTTTGAAGCTGTGAAGCCAGGCATTAACTTCTCTCTAGTTATCAAAGTTAGTATGGATGACATCTTCCAATAAAAGGTTTGTTTCATCTGCATTGAAAATCTGTTGTTTAATGTAGCCACCTTCATCAATGATCTTACCTATTTAGGCTATTAAGTATGAAATGTCTAATTTCCTTAAGTACTAAGCTTGACAGTTGATATCTCTGACATTTCACTTTGACACTTCTTGTTTTATTATTGTGAAGGTACATTCTCATTCTTTCAAATGCATGATCTGGCATGTGATTATCTTTCAAAGTTTTTTTAAGAACAATTTTTGTAAAACCACAGAGAAATCAAAAATTTGTGTTATTATCAAATACAGGTTCCATTGTGGAACCAATGCAGCACAGACAGCTTCAAATATTAATGGAGTGTTTGGGAAGGATGTGATTAATGAATGCACAGTAGGTGGATGGTTTGACAAGTTCCACTCTGGTGATTTTAACCTTGAAAATGAGCTATGTGGGCAACGTGAAACCAAGGTGGATAATGATGAGCTGAAGGCTGTAGTGGAAGCAAATCTATCTCAACCTATTCATGAATTAGCAGCAAGGTTTGACATTACTATTCCAACACTATTGGACTATTTGAAACAAATGTGCAAAGTAAAGAACCTGGATAGATGGGTTCCACATCAATTCAACGAGCATCAGAAGAGAAATCGGCTTGAAGCTTGCCTTTCTTTTTACCGTCCTGATATAAAGGCAAACCATTTTCTACGGGTGATGAAAAATGGATTCTTTTTGACAATCACAAGCGTTTGGCACAATGGTTGGATAAAGATGAAGTACCAAAACACAGTCCAAACCTGAATATGCATTAAAATAAGCTAATGGTGTCTGTTTGGTGGTCCAGTGCTGGTATTATCCACTACAGCTTCATGAAACCTGGTCAATTGATTACAGCAGATGTCTACCGCAACCAACTTGACAAAATTATGAGGATGCTTGCGATTAAGCAGCTGAGACTGGTCAATAGAGACAGCCAATCCTCTTGCAAGGCAATGCTCTACCACATGTCGCACAAACAACACTGTTCAAACTACAGAAGCTGGACTTGGAAACTCTCTGTCATCCACCATGTTCACCAGACCTTGCACCAACTGACCGCTTCTTGCAAGGAAAGGTATTAAATTTTCAACAAGCTGTGGAAAATGCCTTTGGCAATTTTATCGCCACTCTCTCCAGACTTCTTCACTGCTGGTATAAACAAACTACCATTAAGTTGGCAAAACTGTCTTGGTAGTTTAGGCGCATACTTTGATTAGTTGTACTGCTTCTTGTTTGAGATATAATAAACTATGCTTCTGATTCGAGATCAGATATTTCATATTTAATAACATAAAATATCTGGATAACTTGCTGTAGCTTCTACATCAGCACTTGCTGCTTCACCTTGTACTTTTAGGTTATGGAGATGAGTTCTTTCCTTAAACCTCATGAACCAACCTCTGCTAGCTTCCATCTTTTCTTCAGCTTCCTCACTTCTCTCAGCCTTCACAGAATTGAAGAGAGGGCCTTCCTCTGGTTTAGGTTTTGGCTTAAGGGAATGTTATGGCTGGTATCATCTTCTATCCAGACCACTAAAAGTTCTTATCAGCAGTAAGGCTGTTTTGCTTTCTTATCATGCATGTGTTCACTGGATTAGCATAATTAATTCTTAATCCTTCAAGAAACTTTTTATTTGCCTTCACAACTTGGCTAATTGTTTTGGCTCACAAGGCCTAACTTTTGGCCTATCTTGGCTTTCTACATGCCTTCCTCACTAAGCTTAATCATTCCCAGCTTTTGATTTAAAGTTAGAGACCATTGACTCTTCCTTCAATTGAACTATCAGAGGCCATCGTAGGGTTATTAACTGACCTAATTTCAATATCACTGTGTTTCAGGGAATAGGGAGACCCTAGGACATAGAGAGGAGGGGAATGACCTGTTGGTAGAGTATTTAGAACACAACATTTATCAATTCATGGTACCCCCAAAACAATTACAATAGTAACATCAAAGATCACTGATCACAGGTTCTCATAGCATAATAATGCAGAAGTGTGAAATACTGCAAGAATTACCGAAATGTGACACAGAGATACAAGGTGAACACATACTGCT